CCCTCATGTGGGATCCGAACCGGGGATCCCTGGTGTCCCAAGCCAGTTCTTAACCAATGCACCACTCGGCTGGCGCGTAACAATTTTATGTGTCAGTTATTCCTCATTAAAGTTGGGGGTGGGGGGAAAGACAATCACTTCACACCTATTAGAATGTCTAGAATCAAAAAGTCAAATGAGTGTTGACAAGGATGTAGAGAATTTGGAATCCTCACAGGCTGCTGGTGGGAATGTAAAATGGTGTAGCCTCCTTGAAAAACAGCAGTTTTTCAGTTACCTATAACTCAGCAATTGTAATACCTGAGAGAGAGAAAAACATGTTCACACAAAAATGTATATGTGCGTATTATGATCATAATAGTGAAAAAGTGGAAACAACTCAAATGTCCATTAGCTAATAAATGGATAAAAAAATTGTATATCCCAACAATGGAATATTACTCAGCCATAAAAAGAAGTGTAGTCATACATGCTACAACGTAAACTTTGAAAACATGCTAAGTGAAGTCAGTCACAAAAGACCGCATATGTGATTCTATTTATATGAAATGGTCAGAACAGGGAAATCTACAAAGTAGATTAGTGGTGGTTTAGGACTAGGGGGGAGAGATGGGGTTGAGGAAGGGGAGTATAAGCGGAATAGAAGGATGATTACTAAAAGGATGAAGGGTTTCTTTCTGAGGTAATGAAAATGCTCTAAAATTACTGGTGACATATGTACATAGCTGTGAATTTACTAAAAACCATTAAATTGTACTTTGGATGAATTGTAATACGAAGTATATTTCAAAAAATGTTTTTTTAAAAAAGACCATGGGAGGGCCAGCTGAGTGGCGCGTTGGTTAAGAACTGGCTTGGGACGCCAGAGGGCCCCGGTTCGGATCCCACATATGAGGCCCAGTGACACTGCCCTCCACAGCTAAGATGCTGAACAACAGCTCAACCTGGAGCTGGGCTGATGAGAGTCGTCTGCGACAGCGGAGGCTGCAGCCCCTGCTGCAGTGGGTTGCCATGGGCTACCGTATGTAGCCAGCAGCCTCAGTGAGCGGCCGTCCAGAAGCCGG